TAGAAAGAATTCCATTGGCCAGTAAAATAATCAGTGAATGTGACTGGTGAAATGACATGGCCATTACAATATATGCCAAAATGACAAAAACAAAATGTTCCATCAAGTAGAGAACGGGTGGAAATAATTGTAATTAGAACTGCATTAGGCAAGTTAAATAATGACATCACAAGTACCTGCTACAATAATTTTGCGATTTACCGGTTGGCAGAAAGAGCCAATATTTATATGCGTTATAGAGGCAGTAGAATTTTTTAAATTATTTTAAAAACTTTTTTTGCGATCGATTTTTTTTATTGTGCCCACTCTTTAGGGGGGGGATTCAGATTTACCCTTTTCGATGTCCATCCGTCCGTCCTTCCGCACTCACAGGACAGTAATTATGTGGCTTGAAAGACAATAGGTAACTTTCTCTTTGATGTCATTCATTCCGTAATGCTTTTATGTGGCTGTTTTCTTTTGTGTGGCTAAAAAGAACAATATACATGTATTAAGAGAGAACAATAGAGTAGCCACATTATTACTCTCCTGTTAGAACGTCCGTCCGTCCGTTCCCTTTTGTTTCGCATGTAACTCAAAAAGTATTTGACTTAGCGTCATGAAACTTAGCTGGAATGTTGATCAGCATGTGTTGTTGTGCACCTGGGTATTTTCGTGTGGATTTATTCAGTATTTTTAGAGTTATTGCCCTTGACTTATTAAGAATTTGCAATTTTCAACTTGTGTCGCATTTAACACAAAAAGCATTTGACATTGAGTCATGAAACTTTACAGGAATGTTGATCAGCATGTGTCGTTGTGCACCTGGGTATTTTCGTGTGGATTTATATAGTATTTTTAGAGTTATTGCCCTTGACTTAGTAAAAATTTGCAATTTTCAACTTGTGTCGCATGTAACTCAAAAAGGATTTGACCTTGAGTCATGAAACTTAACAGGAATGTTGATAAGCATGTGGAGTTGTGCACCTGGGTATTTTCGTGTGGATTTATTCAGTATTTTTAGAGTCATTGCCCTTGACTTAGTAAAAATTTGCAATTTTCAAATTGTGTCGCATGTTACTCAAAAAGGATTTGACCTAGAGTCATGAAACTTTACAGGATTGTTTATCAGCATGTGTAGTTGTGCACCTGGGTATTTTCGTCTGGATTTATATAGTATTTTTAGAGTCATTGCCCTTGACTTAGTAAACTTTTGCAATTTTCAACATGTTCATGCATAGCTCAAAATGTATTTGACTTGTAGGCCTTAAAGTTTACAAGAATATTGGCCAGCTTGTGTACTTATGCACATTAGGGTTTGCTTGTCGATTTATTCCGTATTTGTAAAGTTCTTGCCCTTAACTTAGTAAAAGATTTTTAGTTTTCAATTTGTGGCACATAATTATAGTCCAAAAATATTTGACCTAGAGTCATAAGATTGACAGAACAGTGGCGTGTGGGGGCACCCGTGTCCTTTGGACACATTTATAGTTTTACTCATATCATTTGAAAGTTCTTTATATTCATATTTTGAAATATAAGCAGATTTGTATTGTTTGCTTTTGAAATAGAAAATTACTAACAACTATACCATTACAAAGCAGATTAGAACAAAAATGGAAACGGTGGAGGAAAACAAGAATTAAGAATAAAGGATGGAATTACTTAATATTCAGTTGCTTGAACTAATATTGCAGTAAAAATGATTTACCTGCAAATGTCTTTTAAGGATGTTTTACACACCAAGTAACATTTTAGATGTGGAAGGGGAAGTAAAATTAACTAAAGATAATAGAAGAATAACAAGGCGATAACAATAGAAATGAAGGATGGAGAACTTTAGGGGAAAAACAGGTTTATCAGTAAGTACACCAATTATATATGGAAAAATTACTAACAACAATACCATAACAGAACAGATCAGAACATAGAATTTCACAAAATGAAATAGAAATAACAGGGAAAAAAGAGCAACAGTTACAGCACATAACAATCAAGACACACAAATAGCGGCTTTTGATACAGAATAAAAACAAGCATAGCTTTTATACCTAGACAACCAATAAATTAGAGAGAAATAAGAATCCCTAAAGAATAAAACGATCAACAAGTACAATACCATCAAGTGACAGGATACAAAGAAACAGATCCATTAGCAGCATGAGGTCACTTATTCAGCATGACAGCAAATGGACTGTAAAGATAGGACTGACAGTAAAACACTTGACAGTAGACGAATCCAATGACTCACTGGCGTGAGCAAAAAGTACAACACAGAAAGTAAGGCAATGGCTGAAATTTATACACAATGTTTGTTTGTTTGTATCATTTTACGCCTATTCCCAACAGTATTTCAGTCATATAGGCGGGTATACACAATGTTAAAACTATACAAGAAACAATAGACTCCATGGCAAGTACTATCAACAACTTCCGCAATTAAATATAGTAAAACAAACAATAAAAACACAGGGCAGGAGATTGCAACACTGACGAACAATGTATTACCTTTTATTAATAAAACAATACAAAAAATGAAAATGATATCAATACAACAGCAGTTGATTATGAAAGTATTAAACAAATGAAAAAACTCAGGTAAAACGGGGGAGGAATATAAAGAAAAAGGGATGAAATTCCTTAATAATCAGTGGCTGGAATTTACAGTGAAGTAATTAATGACTTACCTGCGCATGTGACTGAAGAATAATTAACACCTCAAGTAGTATTTTAGATGAGGAAGGGGGGAGTAAAATTAACTGAAGATAATAGAAGAATGACAAGACATGTTCATCCACATGGGAAACTCATAAATGACATTGAAAGATGGACAACAACAATGGTAATTTATTAAGAGCTAACGAACACTTTAAGGACAATTGTAAATGCAATTAAACAATTCAGCAATGGTGAATCTTGTGAGCTAACTTTCCATGATATGTTAAAAGATGAAAATTGCTTACATCATGGCATACACTTGCACATTATTGCAGAATCAAATTATACAATATCTGAAAAATACTCGTTTACATTCCTGCTAAAAAACTGGAGAAGCTCAACAAAGAGGTGTAATCGCGGAATGTATGATCAACAGCATCATTTGGACAGTACATGAGTACGATTCCAAGATAGTACTTAGGAAGCAATCGTGACTGCTTAAGAACATAATACAACCGCCACATGACACGAGCGAAAATTCATCGCAAAGAAAAATGAAAAAGAACAATGCTGTTCCAACAAATAGATTACTGGAAAGGATGCAGAAATACCACATGGACGATAAAGCAAAACACTTTAAAGTCATATTCACAGGAGATAAAGATGACAGGGAAGAATTCATCAACCTTATCCCAACAAGAATTTACCAGGGGGCGAATAAAGAGTACGCGTTACGTAACGTGATAGATAACAAAACGTATTTTGAATGATACACACAAGAATTGAAAATACCACTAGCTATCAAAAAATGGCTAACTGAAAAAGAAACAAAAGAAATGTTGCAAGAATGGGGACAGGAAGAAAACATAGACGCAGAACAATTTGTAAGATACTGTCTGACGGTACGGAAAATAAATGACTGACCAAAACGAAAATTGCATTTACTTGCAAGTGAAAAGCAATGCCGGAAATACTTATCTAATGCACGGTCTGGTGTACATAGAGAAAAAAGTCGGATATCATACCACAAACAAAGAATTTAATTTCGGTGAAGCGGTGTATGCGCCAATAATACTCATTTATAAGTTAACAATTGAATCACCAGCTACGGCAAAAATCTATGAAGAAATCATTGGAGAGAAAACTACACAAGTAAATATCAAGAACAAACCAAGTATGCTGATGACAAGGAAACCAATTATATAATTACATATAACCAACCTGAAATTCGTACTTAATGAGAAGAAACCACATAAAAAAGTTATTATGCAAACGTTGAACTTAGGAAATTTGATGTACTTAGAAAAATATTCAAAAAAAGGGTTGCATTACCCATTTTTTTTTTCATCAAAACATTCTTTGAAAAAACGTTTCGTTAATTTCTAGGAATATCAAGCGTGTGCATGCCAATATAGGTCTATGAAACCGATGAAACCGAAGAAGATGATGATACAAATGTTGAGATCTTGCTTGAAAAACAAGGTGAAGAGATTATAACAGAGCTAGATGTCATTGGCTATTATAAATATGATCGATCAATTATTGATTATGAAAATGTGTACGATACAATATAAAAACTATCTAAGTTATTAAGGGGGCGTCCGTGGCCGAATGGTTAAGGTCGTTGACTTCAAACCACTTGCCCCTCACCTCTGTTGGTTCGAATCCCGACAGGGACTTTGAATTCTTTCATGTGAGGAAGCTATCCAGCTAGCTTACGGGCGAGTGGTTAAGGTCGTTGACTTCAAACCACTTGCCCCTCACCTCTGTTGGTTCGAATCCCGACAGGGACTTTGAATTCTTTCATGTGAGGAAGCTATCCAGCTAGCTTACGGAACGTCGGTGGTTCTACTCAGGTACCCGTTCGTGCCTGAAATAATGCACGGAAGGGCACCTGAGGTCTTCCTCCACCAGTAAAGCTGGAACGTCGCGATATGACCTATACTGTGTCGATGTGACGTAAAACCCAAAACAACAACAATCTAAATTATTAAAAGACTGACCCATATAAAAGTGAACACAATTATGGCAAAGTGTTACGTTGTTTTTATTTTAACCTGTCACGGATGGGCATAATGTCACTTTAATCATTGAATAATTTAGGAAATATATAATATAGAATAAATAATGTGTTCAATATCATCCGATTTTGTCAGGTATTATTTGAATATAATTGTAATGTTTACATGTACCTGTTATTGGAAACAATTTTTTTTCTCATTCTTGAAATTCGTAGTCGTCATTGTTAGAAATGATCATCAAAAATGATTACAGTAACATTACACAATGCAAATTTTTAAATGTGACCCTATATAAAGCAGATGTGAAAGTAAACGAGGAGATAACACAGGTTATCAATTTACTGACATTACGTACGATTGTTTGATAAAACTGGACAGTTGATACAATAAAAAAAATATATTAAATATATTATTAAAATATTTGGAACAGAAAAAGTGGTTTATTGATGGCTGAATCAGATAAAGCCGTGTCCAATGGGAAAAGATGTTTAAAGACAAAGTCGCCTTATCTATTCCTTCATCCAGGAAGCCATGCCGTGAGAACAACTCCTAAAAAAACATGGAAACAAAAATTTAAGGATTTAGAGGAAGAAAATAGAAGTCTTGAGGAAGAAAATAGAAGTCTTAAAGAAAAATTGAAGGAGTATGAGAATGAAAGAAATCGATGTAACAAGGTATGCACTCTTTTATTTTAAATAAAAACAAGTGAATTAAATTACGCTTAAAACATTTTATATTGTCTATGGTAATTCTAAACAGCATTCTTTGGAATTTAGACGGAAACCTTATTATCGTGTTACAAATTCTATACTCACTATTGGCTACATCGTTTCCTATAAAACGCAAACATAGTAATTACAATGTTTATTACATCTAACTTATTACAGCTCTAACATTTTTAAGCACTAAATTGACACATAGGGTACATATTTTTCATCTCCCAGCCAGACAATAGAATATTCTTTATGTTTTAATATTTTAAACATACCTATAAAATTTTCCGCTTTATTAACAGTTATGAATTACATTTTAAGAAAGAGCCGATATAAGAATTCTATGCTTTTGAATCTGACCCTTTTCCATCATTGTTTTTGTATGTAAAAAATGAATAAAATTGTTTTAATTAAGCTATGTTTAATTGAATTTTTCAATTTAACAATTCGGTTATTATTTATATTTATTGTATTTATCGTATTTTATTCCTGTATGAAAAATTATTAATTATTACTATCAAATGTACTGAATATCTATATTCAGATTTATCAGGAACATGAGGCCCACCTTGTCAGTAGTACTAGTTGCGAGAATTTACAAGTTGGTAACCATAACAACATGCATGTAGTACACAACTTTGATGCAGATAGGCTAGAAAAACTTCTTAAACGATATGAGGAAACCGAAGCAATAATGTCCTGTAGAATTAAGGTACATGGTAACATTTCGAAAAATAATTTTGATTCGATTACTTTTTAACTTATAAATGAAGTGTTCGAGTTGTTGTATATTATATTTGATTTATCATCAATTTCTTTAAGTCAGACGCAAGACATAATATCATTTTTCATAACACGATATTTACTTAATCAAAGTCAAGATTAAAAGCTATTTTTGTTCCATTGTTTTTCTGTGCTGTCGCTGACTTCATTTCACCAATTTTTATCGTAATATTACGTAAGTTTAGATAGAGTACTTATCGGATACTATTTTTAATAACAGTTATCAAAGTTTTACTTTATCAAACTTTCACTTATTAAATATACTATTTGTAGTATGATTTACTCCCACAAGATGATTCATGTAATAATAAAGTTGCAAAACGAATTTCTGAGGAGACAAAACATGCACCTAAACATGTATTATAAAAGATAGTGTTTAACATTCAATTTTACAGCAGAAATTAATCATAACTCCCTATTTTGTTCACTCTGACAAAACTTTATACCTATCCCTGTATTTTAAAGTAAATAATTGTATACATCAGTATGATAACATTCATTATAAATGTGAAAGTAATTGTTTTTTCAACATAGTTAATAAACGGTACGTTTGTCGTAATCGTTTTATGTCCAGAGACTCCAGATATTCAGGAACAATGTACACTAAACATATAACTAAATTCTCAGTACAAGATATAAGTCTTTAAGAATAAGTAATCCGTGTAAAATATTCGGCATTGAACAACACAACCAAATACGATGAAGCTACTAAGTGGTTTACTACTAGTATCTGATTATGGAACAACAAAAAAATATTCTACGTATAGTTTTGCTGGAGATTATTTAAGATATATGAAATCAATACAGTGAAATTAAACAATACAAAACGTACTTTTAGCTTTTCAGAACACATTTTATATATACTAATAACTATATTTATACAGGAACCTGAGAAATTGCAGCAACAAAATGAAACAAAGATAGAGCACTTGAAAGGAGTTGATCAACATTTCCTTGTCCAACAGTTAACTGACAACGAAGAGGCGTGCCCTGTAACATCATTATCAAATATTTGCAGAGAAACAAATTCAATTATGAAGACCATAGGTATGCTTCATTTTTATTTGTACAGTCTACTTTTTCCAAAATATGACATTAAATGACTTGTTATCGTTAAAACTAAATCATGTTTGTTCAATAAATATATTTCGTTATTACACATCAGGCAAGAATATTAAAAGCCATGTACTTTATTTCCTTACATATGTATGTGCGATACACGTTTATTTATCGTCACCGCATGGGGAACTCATGTTCGACATATTTTACTAATAAAAGTTCCAGATAAATTGTGGTAGAAGGTTATAAGTGCAGTTATAGCCTTGTTCCTCTGAAAAGAATTTAGATGTTGCAGTTATTGTTACTGTTGCAAATTTGTTAATAATGTCTAACGTAGTGTCATTAACACACATGCACAATAATACGCGTACACAAAATTGACAATTTTCATTCATAGATATATGAAATATGTACCTGCTCGATATTTAGATTCTACAGAAATAAAATGATAACTAAAAAGTTAGGAAAATACGCACTAAAATCATACTTAAAATTTTCATTTATTTTGAATGTTCTCTGGTATATAATCGAACTGAAGTCAAACAAACCCCAGACATCAGCAATTAAGGAAATTAGTGAACCATATCATAGTTAAGTAAATAAAGACTACTGTTTCATGTTACAAAATGTGAATGATTGTCATTAACTATTCAATGACCTTCACTCATCTGCTAAACTCTCACTAACTAAAGGCACTGGAAGTCTGTCTTTTAGATTTGCTTCATGGCAATGACTCATAGTATGATTCGCACTCCTTCGGAATTGTCCCAGAGGCAACAAGTGACATCAAATCAGCTTTTTTGCAGCAGATATTGGAAGCTTCTCTGTATTATGAAGCCTTTCATGGAGCCTTAAGAGACTTTTCTTTGCTTCTGTTCTTCTTCTGCATTAACCTAACTTCCTTGAACTCACTAACATCAAAAACATAGCTCACAACAATACTGTATTCTTTGTCTTTACGGACTTGAATACATTTTATATTCAGCCAATTAACACATTCACCATCAACATCGATTTCATTGAGCCAAAGTTTTGTTTTTTGTACAACTTGTAATCTAGTATGTCAGTGTATTTTATTGGAACGACATTATGGTTGCTTCCGGCGTGCTAATGATATAACTGTTTCATACTGAGATGGAACATGAACTATTGTGAGGCTTTTTGCATGCTCGATAGATGCATGTATGGAATTACATTCCATTTCTGAATGGCCACTTTCGAGAAATTTGTGGTTTATACACTTGATGTGAGGAATATACTGGACACAATGAACTAAGCAACTTGCAACAAACTGATTGCAATTCTGTCCTCCACAAGCATTACTATATAATGTCACTTCTTCAATACCAGATGTCTTACTTGCAACAGAAGTAACATACAAGTACACAAAAGTTCCTACTTCGCACGAGCCTCGTTTCCCCATGTGTCTCATCCCACAGATAACAAGTCACGTTACCATTTCCCATTTCATAGGATTACAAATTGCAACAACACAGTTTTCTTTTGTAATAAAGTTCACCAATTAAACTGCATGGTGTTGTCAAAACAGCCTGGATATCAAATACCAACACAGAAAACTTTGGATCTTTCTTTGTGCGTTCTTTATCGGCTGATTTTTCCATTCTAGTACTATTGTTTTTTTCTTGGTCACTTGGTGTGCCTGATATTTTGCTTTTGTTGCCTCATCTAGTCTATTTTCTATTCTCAAAGTGTCATACAGATTGCAGAGTGGACATTGATCTTTCTTAGGATGGAAGAAATAAAGTTATATTCTGTACTGAAAATGTTTCTGTACACAGCTCTGAAACACACCCTCTATTTTGTCCTTTACATTTTTCTACATACAGTGAGTATATTCGTTTTATATTTAAATCTTGCGTTAGATACTTCCTGTTGGAGTTTTCTTGTGTAGTGTGATTCAACAGTCGGAAAGCTTTCATTGTGTTTCTTTACAAATGATCTGTGATATTCCGTGGTTTAATTTCCAGGCACAGCTTTCCCTCTCTTGTCATTTCCAACATATGTGCTTAACTGCGTTTGCAACTGTTTTGGAACCGACATGGAGAGTTTTTAGAAAAAAGTCTTTGCCACCATCTGTGTGAAGAAAAACGAATTCGAAATAGTTCTTTGTTTTGTACTCTGTTTAGATACCTTCTCATGTTTGTTCAATAAATATATTTCGTTATTACACATCAGACAAGAATATTAAAAAAAATGTTCTTTATGTAAATAGTTCCTTGCTTACGTATGTTTGTGCGATACACGTTTATTTATCGTCACCGCATGGGGAACTCATGTTCGACTCTCTTCAGAATATTATTACTGTAAAATATATTTTTGGAGCAAAGTGCAATGGATATAGAAATTACCGGTATTACATCATAATAGTCATAATAACAATATATTACGTCAACGTGTCCTTATATGATGTCAGACTTTCATTATATGATGTACAATTACAAATATATTATGTGGAACCATCTTTATATAGAGTCAAAACAACAATATAATTATTGTGTAGAATCGTCTTTTAATAGAGTCAACTTAACAATATATGATGTCAACGCGTCTTTATATGATGTCAATCTTTCATTATATGATGTACAATTACAAATATATTATGTGGAACCATCTTTATATAGAGTCAAAACAACAATATAATTATTGTGTAGAATCGTCTTTTAATAGAGTCAACTTAACAATATATGATGTCAACGCGTCTTTATATGATGTCAATCTTTCATTATATGATGTACAATTACAAATATATTATGTGGAACCATCTTTATATAGAGTCAAAACAACAATATAATTATTGTGTAGAATCGTCTTTTAATAGAGTCAACTTAACAATATATGATGTCAACGCGTCTTTATATGATGTCAATCTTTCATTATATGATGTGCAATTACAAATATATTATGTGGAACCATTCTTATATAGAGTCAAAACAACGATATATTATGTAGAATCGTCTTTATATAGAGTGAACTTAACAATATATGATGTCAACGCGTCTTTATATGATGTCAGTCTTTCATTATATGATGTGCAATTACAAATATATTGTGTGGAACAATCTTTATATAGAGTCAAAACAACATTATATTATGTAGAACCGTCTTTATATATAGTGAACTTAACAATATATGATGTAAATGCGTCCTTATATGATGTCAATCTTTCATTATACGATGTGCATTAATGAATATATTATGTAGAACCATTCTTATATAGAGTCAAAACAACACTATATTATGTAAAATCGTCTTTATATAGTCAACTTAACAATTCGTCAGCAGTTTAGAAAAGTCTTGAGATTTTAGGTACCGAGATTTTTGGCGACGCCGGTGAGCGGCGTCGTCTATTATGGAACGCTTTTTATTTTTGCCTATGGAAGGAGCTTTTATTATTAGCAGTTAATTTCATGTTGTGTTAATTAGTATTATTTTGATTCGTAAAAATCAAGTAAACAAATGTGTTGTTATATTTGTATTTAATAACTTTATGTAAAAAGCATGTGCATTGTGATATTATTTTCACGAAATTGCAGGTTAAGTTTAACAGCTTGTCCCTTAGTTTTAATGACAATACTAAAACCCGGATTTCGAATATCGTTGTGGTCTAGATTGAGGCCGTATCAGTTCATTCATTCATTTATACATTTTCAAAATTTTCCTACAAGAAGAAAGTTCACCTGCAATTGAGTATAAGGATAGGTAATGGAACTGTTGTAAACGATTATCCTATTGATTTTATCCTTATTACATTTATCTGTTGCGCAGAATGGTTGTTTTTACAAAGTGTACCAGTATCCGGATGTTGAAAGCTATCCGATTTTCTGCAATTACTGCTGACACATGGCCATCTATTTTTTTATGAATACTTTACAATTAATTTGCATGGCTTGATAAAACTGACCCTGCAACAATTCATAATTTTGCTTTTTAGGGTGTTCTTTTGGGTTTCAGGTTTTCTTTATTGTAAGGGGAAGTAACTCATGTTTACTAAATTATTTGTTCTTTTCTGTCTATCTTAGGTATTACTTATAATACTATTTTTGTTGTATATAATTCACCAGTTGTAAGGTCATCAAAAGCATGTTAATGTTAATGTTAGGATTTCATATTTATTTAATATAAACTGGGAATTATTAATGTTATGTGCATACATGTATATCTTTAGACAGTAGTATATTGATATGTTGAGACTTATAATTTTTCTGCATTTAAAGAGATACAGTTATGTCATTATAATTAAAGGGATGAGACTTACATTTAAAGTTATAAATGATAAAACATGTATTGATTGAAAATGTCCTTAAACTTGGATCAAGCAATATAATTAATAAAGTCTCAAAAAAATCATATTCTGAATAGTTATTCTATTTTTTTTTTCTAACATGTGCATAGTTTGAAAAGGACAGCTTCTGTCTTATCTATTTGTAATGAAGGGACACCGGTCTCAACCTCCAGGTCTCCTGAGTCAACCCGACAACAGACTGTACATAAAGTAGATTGTTACTTGCCCTTGAATAAATTTGTGCACTAATTTATAGTGGGTGATTTGTGCCACATGAAAACCAACATAGTACAAAAAGTAACTGGGCGCCAGATGAAAACATGAAAATACAATCTACCACAAAGTGGTTTGTTTGTTGCATTTTCATGTTTTTGCCCGGTGCCCTTGATGCAAAATACAAATCAGCCTTCATAAAAATTTCTTATGTTGGTCACAGGTTTGAGTTCTGGTCAAGCTCAAAGTTTTTCTCTCTGTAACATAAGAAATTCACGAACACAAATCGATATAGTGGGGGAAATATGTTGTGGTTTAGAACTGTTTCATTATTAAAGAGAAAATGTGAAGCAGGCCGGATAGCTCAGTTGGTCTTCTGAAAGTCATGGGTTCGAGTCATGGTCAGGCAGTTTCAGTCAGGGTTTAGAAAGTGGTTTTTCAATTGACACATGTTTGATTCATTTAACAGATTGCATTATTTGAAATGGACAAAGGCAGTATTGCATGATACTTTTAGATCTACAAAGGGCATTTTGATACAGTTGAACACACTATACTGCACATGAAGAAGTTGTTTTTCTTCTTCTTCATGAAACTTCAAGCATCTGCCATATATAATGACATTCTTACATGGTTTAAGTATTATCTCTGATAGTAGCTGGTTGATGTGGCTGGTACTCATTCTACTACTGCTCTGAGTACCTATGCTGTCCCCCTGATGTTCATTTAAGGTCCTCTTTTATGTCTAATATATGTCAATTACATGTCTTCAACCCTAAGCAGTAAGCTTTTATTATAATGCACAGGCACGAGTATCAGACCTTGGAAGAAAAAATATGGCCAGATTGATAAAAAACCTGTGTTCATCTTAAAAGTGTCAACAACCAAAATAAAATGTAAATAATGACCCCCTTTAAAAATATACTTCAAGTTGATAGTATATTTTTAAAGGGGATCATTATTTACATTTTTTTTTTTTTTTTTTTTTTTTATAAACACAGTTTTTTTATCAATCTGGTCATCTGGTCATATTTTTTCTTCCCAGGTCCGATACTCGTGCCTGTGATTATATGCTGATGACTCAGGAATCCTTGTGTCTCATAAAATAAATCTGAAGAAATTCTTTCTTATAGCATGAGTCTTATAAGATTGCTTAATTGACTATAAATTGTCTTTGCATCTTGGCAAGACAGAGTCTATTCTTTTTTGGTTTAAGTTTCAACTTAAACTGGCCCTAGCCTCCAGGTCACATGTAATGGTACTGCTATAAAGTACACATCATTTGTTAAGTATTTAGGTGCAAATCTGGATCAAATTCTTTTGGCGTCGCCCTTTGATGCTTTGCATCAATGATTTTCTTGTATCTCACTGGGATATAAACAGTTCCCGCCAATAACGGTGCATAGTTAGATATAACCCGGTAAATTTAACCCAATCAGTATAATGACAAAAGCACACGATATAATGATGTTTGCACTTCATATAAAGCAGCGATCGTATAATGATAGATGCATATCGTATAAAAAAAGATTCACATCGTATAATGAAAGATTGACATAATATATTGATACTGTCCTAAGATGATAATTTGGTCTTAACGGTACATGGGAAAGTCCGTTATGGCTCTGCCGGTAGGTCGGAGTAATTGTAACTATTAGTGTTTTGTACTCATAGGTTCGAACCCCACTTCGTGTCATTTTATAACCACATTTTTTTTCCTCTTACTCTGTTTTTTTATCATTATTCTTTATCTATTTTGCGTTTTCCTTTTTGTTTTCTTCTTATAATACATATTTTATAGTATGTATTTATTTATTTTTTTATTTCCATTCTATTTTCTTTTTGTTTTTTTTTTATCGCAGTGTAATAAAATATTCGATATTATATTCATGTGTGTATATGAAAAAAATGGTCAAACTTGTTTTCTGAACAATTGGCTGTTCTGAGGTAAAAAAAAACGTGTCGTACCAGTAGTCGAACTTCTGCCTGTGCGGGCAAAAACACATTACTGACACGGTTGCTCTACCTACTGCGCTAACAAGTCATATGATAATATGTAGTTTTATTTTCAATTTTATAGGTTGTGGCATTGATCTGCCTAACCTTTTTTGGCATTGTTATTGGTCTTTGTTATGTAAACAAAGGCTCAAGTTATCATCCTAGGACAGTAAGTTGGCTGTATTTAATGATGCAACCACATATTATTTACATAAATCCACATCGTTTAATGATTGGTCGACATCATATAAAGACACATTGACATCATATATTGTTCAGTTGAATTCATATAAGGATGCATCCACATAATATATTCATGAGTGCACATTGTATAAAGAAAGAGTGACACAACAACGTTCATTTTTACAATCATAAGACAGTCAAGGCTTTCCATAGTCAGTGCTGTATATTATTTCTTAATGATTTCAAACATCTATTTAAGCTTATCTTATTTGAGACACTCAATATAGAGGATAAATGGTCATGATCACAGTAACACTGGAACACATGATCCCCGAGATAAGAGACAGACTCCGTAACAGCTTGGACACCGCTTAACTTCGAAACAAAAGGTTGTGACTTTGTTATCCGTAAATCTATTTGACTGACATTGTATGCCTTTTTTCAGCACCAGAAATCGCTCGTATGATAAGTTTGCAATCAAGCAAAATTGATGACCCGAAACCAGAATTCTGTTCAGCGTTTAGTGCGTCACAAAGATTTACTTCGACTGTATCTTTAGACGAAAGGAACCATACAGCAGATCGCAACAAATGTCACAGAAGGATTCATTCAGAACTTAATATCAATATACATGTCTAATCTTTGCATTACTACTGCTATAGATATATTAACAAATTGATTAAACCATTCTTAATTAAAACCTGAATATTATAACAAAATCTGAACAGACTTAGCTCATGATGTTCACAATCATGTAACAATTTTTATCATTTGTTAATCATTCCCGACTTTCACACATATTAACTTTATCATCTGCATATAACTATGAAATAGAGGATATTGAATGAGTGTAAGTTTAATACTGAATTTATTGCACGAGTTGAATAAAATTATATTATGCGAGCCTCTGGCGAGCATAATATTATTTTATTCAACGAGTGCAATAAATTCAGTAATGAACTTACACGAATTTAATATTCTATTTATCCCCTTACCCAAAATAAAACCCCTTTTTTAAGGGGAAAATAGGAAATTTATTTTTTTTTTAAAAGCGCCTATAGGGGATAACCCCTTAAAAATTTAGCGCGTCTTTTTTCCCCTAAAGTTTTTTTTTTAACCCCTTAATTTTACGTCACGGGAAAAAATTATGCCCCGGGTCATGGCCAAAAACCCATATTTACGGAGTCACAAAATCCCCGAAGGGGTTGTGAAAAAAAAAGGCAAATTACGGGGTTTTTTTCTCCCTTTTAAAATACTCTTTTAAAAATTTATTATTGAAAGGGTTAAAAAATATACATGTTAAAATAAAACCTTTTTCCAAAATATCTTTTTTTTTTCCCGGAAAACCCTTAACCTGAATTTAAATAAAAAAGATTGTACTTTTCAGCCCAACTGTCTAAAATGCTAATTTATTACTTTAAGTAAATAGCTTACCAAAAGTGCCAAGTTGGGCAATACCTCTGTAATTATCAGGGTTATCAAACATCCCCCTTTTTATGAATAAGTTGATTAAGTCCACTTTCCAGCTTGCTGCGAAATAACCTAAATGAACAAACTATAACCAATGATTGGTTACATCAATTATTTCTACATTAGATTATTTCTCGAAATTTTTCAGAAATATATAGTTTCTCTATATTTTGTACGAACCCAGGTCGTTACAAAATTATGCCCTTAAATATTGATGTTGAAAAATAAAGTGGTATATGAATTTTACCTCCATGCAAATAACATAGTTTAGAGTTAGCTTTGAGCATAGCTGTAGGGTCATAAAAATGTTTTTAACGTCTAATAACACCTAAAAAGTAAAGTAATTTAATGCAATATAAAAAAATTAAAGGTAGCTCTAAACAATGGCTGTTCAGCCAACAAAAGACGCCGCCACTCAAGTTGTTCTTACGAATTTGATGCCAAACGGCACACAGTATCTTTTCGTTCTCCGTCTACTTGACAAGGACTGCTCCTTTCATTTCAGGGCACCAACAATAAACAGTCGGCAAGCACGTGGAGTAGTTTCTTTCTCTCTTTGCTGGTGTCTTAAACATCATCCGCGACGAGAGAAGTAATTGTTTTAATTATGATATGCTATTTATATGAAAATAAGAGTAACAAAGGTTTGGAATAACGGCAGACTTATTAAATTATGTTCGTTACTAAACTGGTTTAGATTGTGGATTTAAGTATTTTTTCAAAATGTCATAATAAGTTTTTTTCTAGTCATCTGCCGCAATGTAATATGTTCATGCCAAACATAAAAGTTTGTCAGGTTTACAAAATTATATCCTGCATTGTAAGTGTAATGGGCATTATAATACGGAACAAAAGTTTCAACCAGACCATTGAGCTTTGTTGAATAATCATAAAATACTGGTGATGGTACCATTTTTAAAAATTAATTCGGAAACGAAAGGGGAAATTAATGACGCATTCAATGATGTGAAAAACAAGATGTGTATTTTTTTCTATTAAACACACTGTGCATTTGATGTTTACTACTCCCCTAAATCAAATGTTTTTAGTTTTTATTTGTCAATGTTCCATCAGAACGTCAGAACCAAATTGGGCGAAGGTATGGTCATCATAATTTTTTTCTTGTACTTTTTGTTTTATTTTGATAGAGGGATGCGAAAACCATCAATTCATCAAAGTATACATTCCCACCACGTGCAGTCATTTCTGAAATGTTAAAGACATCAATTCGATTGGTTTTATTTACATCTGCACATGCGGACCATCAAGTTCGCGAACTTTTAAAAGACGTTTTTAAATTAAAATTATATGTATGATATTCTAGCCTTCGATTCGATATATGCTTGTAAATGTGAAACAACGTGCTATTATAAAATGTATGAGTACAATATGTAAAATGTTCTATTCAAGCTTAAATGCTAGTTTTATTCTGTACAGTTGAAAGGTTTCTATTATTAATTGAGGTTAATTTTTATTGTCATTATTTATTTCTAATGATTTAGTTATTTCAAATTTTTTAGCAATATGAGTAGTGCTAATATGAATATGACAAACATAATTTGAATCACCTTTGGTTGTACCAAAAACACTAATGGAAATTTTGCACCAATACTTCGGTTTAATTTCAAATCAGACAAATAAAACAAAACATCAAATTCAAAGCATGTAAAGACTTACGAAACAAAAATATGACCGCAATATCAATGCAAAAAATGAACACATGAGAAAAAATCTAGAGGAATTTGCACAACCTAAGAATCTATAATGTAAATGTGGATTCGGACCATGCTCCGGTCTGAAAAAATGACTGTATGATTTACTTATATATCAAGTAATTGTCCCAAGCAATTTTTATTTGTTTGTTTTTTTACGTTTGAGGTTATTTAAACTACAGAAAATATAAATATTTGTGGTGTTAAACCTGAAACAGTCATAGATCATTACGGGTCAAAGTCTAAACTATTATTAAACGATAATATAGTCATTAGTTCTACGTTGTACTGTACAGAGGAACACTATGTATCTGTTTGTGAAATTCAAAAGTTTTCGAATATATAAGGGGTTTATAAGTGTTTTTCGGGAATGTTAACAAATGTCGTTTGAAATAATGTAAAAGAATTGTAGTAGAAAAAAGTGAGAATAAAGAAATGGACACAAAAATTGAAAAAAGCAAACATTAGTAAATTGACTATCGACAAGAAACATGTTCGACATGAATCAAAAATTCCTCAACCAAGACGTTCTTTAGTACTTTGTTACGGAAGCTTGTATCCTAATGAAAGAAAAGAAGAAAACTGGAAAGAAAAATATCAAGCACTTCAAAGAGAAAACAGATTCCTCAGGGAGGAAAATGCGCAGCAAAAAGAAAAGATACTCTCGTTAGAACAAGATCAGCGTAGATTATTATGGTAGGTAACATTCACTAAAAATATATAGCATAGACATATTATATTTTTGTATATAGTAACACTACTTAAGTCATTTTCTCGTGAAATCGAAACTTCATTACGACAGAC